TAACTGGTTTACTAGAGTAGATCGATGAAACGCTGATTTCTCATGATCTAACTGGTTTACTAGAGTAGATCGATGAAACGCTGATTTCTCATCATCAAACTGGTTTACTAGAGTAGATCGATGAAACGCTGATTTCTCATGATCTAACTGGTTTACTAGAGTAGATCGATGAAACGCTGATTTCTCATGATCTAACTGGTTTACTAGAGTAGATCGATGAAACGCTGATTTCTCATGATCAAACTGGTTTACTAGAGTAGATCGATGAAACGCTGATTTCTCATGATCAAACTGGTTTACTAGAGTAGATCGATGAAACGCTGATTTCTCATGATCAAACTGGTTTACTAGAGTAGATCGATGAAACGCTGATTTCTCATGATCAAACTGGTTTACTAGAGTAGATCGATGAAACGCTGATTTCTCATGATCAAACTGGTTTACTAGAGTAGATCGATGAAACGCTGATTTCTCATGATCTAACTGGTTTACTAGAGTAGATCGATGAAACGCTGATTTCTCATGATCAAACTGCAAGCAGGGTTGGGGTCACTCTGTCTACTCACAGTTTTCAGTCACGCAACTGGAGGGCAAAACATCCATTAAACTGTAGCACAGGTCAGTACATTTTCCATCTCAAAAGAACAAAAACAAAAATATGTGAACAAAATGCATTTTGTGCACTTGTGATCCACATACAGCTCATGCTGCAGTATTTCAATCACTAAAAACAGTGGGACGTTCTGAAACGATTAATGTGAAAAACACTTTCGTTTTTGAAGTGCACACCTTATTGATGATGCAGACTACATACAGGCGAGCAGATGTGTGTTGTGTTTATATTCAGGGTTCATCTGCTCGCCTGTATATAGTGTGCATCATTCATAAGGCGTGTACTGAATTGCATCTTTAAATAACAGTGTCTTATTACATTAGTAAAAATGACTGGTGGTCAATTGTTTTGCTCTCCAGCAGGGAGAATAAGGGCGTGACGTGAAAACTATGAATCTCTGGGGTTTGTAGCTTGCTTTTGCACTCCTTTTTCAGTTTGCACGCCTTCTAATATGTGCTTTTATTCCTAATATCTGACCAAATCTGTCTTAAGCAAATGAGCTGAACTAAATAAGCAGCCATTCCCCAACGCAGGGACAGTTACAGGCCGTCTGCACATGATAAACACGAGCTGCTGTATTGACTGAACACACAGAGCATATTCAACACGGCCTCACGACAGTCACAGGAGATGGACAAACACAAATGAAACACGCTTCACAGCAAACACACACACACACCACTGAAAGCATGGCGTGGAGATGCTCACAGAAGCCCTGATCGCGAGGGAAGCTGCAGTGCATCTGCAGGACAGTGACGCCCCCTGGTGCTGGCGGGACAGCAGTGCACCAGGAGCATGTTAGGGATGATCTGATCCCTGTTCCCATGATGCACTGCAGCGTCCCTGTAAGAGGCATGCAGGGACTGATCTATCAGCGGCACTGGGTGTGTCTGCGCATCCGTCAACGCTTTACTGATGCTGTTTGTTTGCTATGTTTAAAGACCCCATGAAATGGAAGAGTTTTCTCCACTGTATCTACTATTGAAACAGGAAGGCAGGATCTCTCCACTTTGTTCTTAAAGTCCCCCTGTAGTCAATCATTTTATCCCTTAAAACCCCTCTTTGATCACCAAAATGATTATTTCCTTGAATCAATGTCTTCTTGCCTTAAATAGCTTGAATGTAACTCTACACCCCTGCCTCATTTAGTATAGTATAGTGTTTAGTATCAGGGACTGTTAAGCCACTTCATGGGTTTCTGTGGCCGGATAGCCATCTGATCGTGAAGAGACCAGGTGTAAATGCCCTCCGAGACAGGTTTGAATCCGATCGCTCACACCACTTCAGGAGGAGGTCTGAGGCACGTTCCAGACGAAACTGGACAAATGTAAATGCATCTGGTTGTTGAAACCACCACATATGTAAATTTGACTCCCAACAATGCTAAAATATAAACGTGAGAGCGTGTTTTAGGCTACATGACATGTTATAGGCAGATATGACGGCGCAGATGAGCATCTCTTCATCAAGCCCACATGCAAACTATCGCAAATCAAAGTGAAAGTCAGTCGCAGGCGCTTAACACACAATCATCTTCATTAAGTAAAGAAACGAAATGATCTTACCAGGGCTGTTGCCGCTCTCTCTTATTGCGGTCTTTGACTTTGAAATGAGCTGATGATCAATAAAATGCAGCTCATATCTGTTGCTTTCGGTGACATGCACGCCTTTAAATCTGCATAGAGCGCGGGAACTGAAGAAAACACATTTATGTGACCAGATGTAAACTGAATCGTTTTGATGAATCAGATAGCTATCCGATCTGAGGAAACGCATGATGAGTGGCCCGGTGTAAACAGCAGCTCAGAGATCCACTGGTTGACGATCACACGTTGATCTGATTGGTTACAAGGTCGTTTGTGACGTCAGAAACACCAGCGATTTCACACCGAGTGTTTTTGGACACATTTTTTTATTAACAATCGAGTTTTTAATGTTGTTTATGTGTCTGTGTGGTGTTTTTAATATGCTTTAAGACAAACCATGTGTAAATTCATAAGTCGACAGCATTGCTGAGTATTGAGGCAAGGGTGTCAAGTTACATTCAAGATATTTTAAAGCATGAAGACATTTTTTCACAGGAAAAACATTTAAAAGTTTTAAGGGATACAATTATTGACTACAGGGGGACTTTGACTAACGTTTAAGTGCTCGATCAATGGATGAAGCAATGAACCCACTGTAGATTTCTTTTTTTTAAGGATTTGCACCTGCAGACCTGCCAGAGTCAGACCATAACTACTCGAGCTGATATCCAAAGAGGAACTATAGTAGTATACGCCAGCGTTAACAGAACATGTGACCCGTCATCAGACCGCAGCACTCATTTAACTGATCATGTGGCATTTATATTTTAAAGAGCATTTCATTGGACAAGCATTTGCATACACCCCTGTGATGCCATCAATATTTTAGTCTGCTTTCCAGGAAGAAACGTCTTTTAAAATGTAAAACGTCTGCTAAAACATATTTTGCCAAGGTTTGTGAGTATATCACCGTATAGATGAGCTCAAAAGCAATAGACTTAAGGCACAAATCTCTCAATTTGATTTCATGGGGACTTTAAGAGCATGATGAAGGTCAGCTGGTGCATGAATGCTAATTATCATCTCGAGGAGAGGTGTTTCCCTCCGTGTGGGAGTGAGCGTCTGCACTGCGCAGCACACAACACCCAGAGAGAGCCGATAAACAGCAGCAGGACACACACTGGACAACAGCACACACACACACAGCATGCGGCGATCAGGGCTTGAAATTAGCAGATTGTCTTCATTCTCAGGTACGCTTTCTCGTCCCTGAAAGAGGGACAGTGGTGTGTGTGTTTGGCCCTGTCGGCTCACCTACACCGAGACTCACTGGGTTTCCACATGAACTACTGTTAGTGCAGGGTGACCGTTCACCAAAAACCCTCATGCGCTCATCATTTACTCACGCTCATGTGCAACACAACGGTCTCAGAGTAATGAGCCATCTCCAAACAATGGGAAGTCAATGGGCGCCAAATCTGTTTGGTTCCCAAAGTTCTTCTTTTAAGTTCCACAGAAGAAAGTCATAGAGCTTTGAATGACACGAGGGCGAGTAAATGATGACAGAATGACCATTTTTGGGTAAACGATCCCTTTAACGTTTATAAATTCATCATTTGGTTTTGTCATTTCTTATCTAATGATGGGAGATTAAGGGTCAGTCTCAGGAAAAGGCACCATGATGTCATTAACATCATCATGACACTATTATTAAATCTCCTTTAGTGTGGAATGTAAAAGAAAAGCATTAAATGTTTGTTGTTTCTAAATCTGAATATGAGTCATTACAAGGGTCCATACACAAAAAGAAGAGTGGAGATAGAAAGAATTTTAAACCGAATTCTACCTTTATTTTCTTTTGAAAAATTAATTTTCATATGTAGATTATAGTGTATTTTTCTCTTCAAAAGATGATTTTCTTTAAGGTGGCAACATCATGCAATGATTCAAACTCAAGTTTCTCTCAGTATTTTATTAAATACACTCTTTCTCTCGACAGGCTCAGGAGTTTAAAATAAAATGTGCCGTTTACTGGTTAAGCTGTTATTAGAAATGTTTACACTGATCTTCAACCCCAAGACATTTTTGAATGGGTTATTAATTATGCATGTTAACGATTTATTAATTACAATGTGAGATTTATTACAAGGCACTTTCAGAAACTCACATAACTCATAAATAATGAATGGTACTATAATGGGCATGTGTTAGTGGTGATAGCAATGCTCTTCCCACATACAGTGGTTTAGGGTATGGGTGTAACGGCACACACAACATGACGGTTCGGCACGTACCTCGATTCTGAAGTCACAGTTCAACGTGTCTTCAGGACAGCAGGGGGAACTAACCAAACCACGCATGCCGTTTTATTTATTAAACAGTGGTTTACTGAACAAACTAAGTCTGCCTTTAAATAAAAAAGTGTCAACACACACTGCAGTTTATGCCGCTGTTGTAATTGGGGGAAGAGATGTGAAGGACTTACACTGCAAAATATGTTAGCAGAATATTTTAGAATAAGGTTAGAATTATGTGGCTCTCATTCCAATCCACTTGGTCTATTTTTCTGTAATATTCATTGAAGTCTGTGAAGTTAAACATAGACTCGATTGCTGTCAGGATCATACTTTTTATGCCAAATGGAAATGTGTGTGTGAATTTGTAACATTTGTAAGTAAATCGAAGTATATAAAGGATACTGTTCCATCATAGGGGGGAAACTCAGAGTTTGAAACTAACACTGTATCAACACTGTAACCAATCATTTTCAGTACAAACATGTGTACCGTTACATCAACCACTGAAAAAAACAACATACTTATTAACAGATAGTGTGAATATTAGAAGGAGAGCCTGGGACTTTGCACCTGAGCTAAGAAAATATGATTTCTAGAAAGCTCAGCAATAACGTTTTCAAAAACACTGGAATATTTGAGCTTCAATGGCGCCGTTTCCTGTGAATGACCCACATACTACAACAGCTTAAAAGCTTTCTCCGATCTAAAATGTCATTGTAAACAGTAAGAAGTGTGAAAGAAGAATCAAAAGGAACAATCCAGTTGCATCACTGTTTGTTTGTTAAATAAAAGCTTCAATTTTGGGAAAGAGGGAAAGCAGTTTGGCTGAAAGTGCAGAAGACTGTTGTGGAAAAGCTGATGAATTTCTCGGTCAGCCTTTCAAATGCTCTAATAATTGCTCGTGGCAGTCAGTAATTTCAAGCCCTACGTTTATTGTCTCGTTTCACTTGAGGTTGTTCTTCTTCAATCGTAATTAGATGGAATCGTTTGGGGTTTGGCTAGGAGGACGCTTCCAGTGTCTGGTTAGTCACAATACAACAGTAAGATTGTGAACATACCTGAGCAATGTTCAAGGTCTAGAGCATTGGAGGAGGAAGAGGAGGAGGAGGAGGAGGAGGAGGAGGATGGGCGGGGCAAGACAGGACAGAACAAAAATAAAGGAAGAAAAAAAAGAAAACACAAATACAGTGACTAGGAGGCCAGCTCCAAATAACCCTGTCAGTCAAGCCAAACCACACCCCCAAAGACAGGTACGAGAGGGACAGGTGGGGCGTACTCCCTGCCAGACCACAGAGGAGAGAGAGAGAGGGAGGGAGAGAGGTAGAGAGAGAGAGAGAGAGAGAGAGAGAGAGAGAGAGAGAGAGAGAGAGAGAGAGAGAGAGAGAGAGAGAGAGAGAGAGAGAGAGAGAGAGAGAGAGAGAGAGAGAGAGAGAGATACACACACACAGAGAGAGAGAGGGGGAGAGAGGTAGAGAGAGAGAGAGAGAGAGAGAGAGAGAGAGAGACACACACACAGAGAGAGGGAGAGAGAGAGACAGAGAGAGAGAGAGACACACACACAGAGAGAGAGAGAGAGGTCATAGTTTGGCAGGGAGTATCGTGTCATTCAGGTCCTGTGGGAGGGAGTGTGGGACTACTCAAACTACGAGCAGCTGATCTCTCCACGCCTCTGCGTCAGCCTCTCATCACAGAGAAGGGGATGGACATGCGAGGCAGAGGAGGGAGAGAGAGCCCTGCGAGAGACAGAGAGAGAGGGGGTCGGGGGCGAGCGGCACCTGCTTGTTGAGGCCCAGCATGTTGCAGACCATGTCTCTGGAGTAGGGCTGCTCCAGCACATACCTCAGCAGACCCGTCTGCGGCTCGAACAGGTCCTGCGGAGACACACACCACATTTACACACACATTTACAGGGTGTCCGCAGATTTAAAGGGTTTGTTCACCTTTAAAAATGAAATTTCTGTCATTAATTCCTCACCCTTATGTATGCTTCAAATAAAGATTGTATCAGTTACACATATATCATATTTTAAATGAATAAAAGCATAAGCATTTTTAATAAAAACGGCCAAAACGTGAAGTTTACCAATCATTTCATTTGTGCAGGTCTTATAGACGAATCCAGCGAAACTACCGGAAGTAAGCGGGCGCCATTACTGAGCTGTTGCTGGGTAGCGTTGCGCCATTGCCTCCTATTGTTTTATTTGCAACTTGCGTCCACTGGAATAAACAGCCCGCGATTTACGACTGTCACTAACGTTACAACTTTTATAATGTCGAGTGGGAAAACATGTTGGCATTTTGAAAAATCATCGGATGCCAGGCGAAGGAGAAAATACTCTTGAATACCTTTAAAACAACAGAAGGGGCGCATTGGGGTAGTAACGTTAGTAACAGTACTGTTATGTCTGTTGTTAATGTTTGATTTGCTTGACTGTGACAGATTTTTTTTTAAAATAAATTAAATATGCATTTTTTGCTATAATAACAATTATTTAATGACATAAGTAAAAAAAAAATATAATAAATATGTAATATAGTGCTCAGCAAAATCTCCTCTCTAGCTATTTTTTCTATTCAATTAACATGCTATGGTCATTAAATGGCTTTCCTGAGCTAAATGTAACGTTATGTGACATAATTGTTCTCCTGCTGTTATATTGACCTCTTTCCATGGTTTAAAAACACTAATTGGTCGATATTATGTATACTTTCTAGCTGTACCTTACCCTTGCCTTTTGCAATGTGAAAATGAGATAAATAATGGACACAAATGAAAAACATGAATTCGTTTATTTGATGTCATTTATTTATTTATTGTTGCCAAATGGACATCTTTTTTATAATTTCCTCGTTAGCTAACGTTAGCCTAGCTAGCTTGCCAAGCTATTTTCATAAATAATCTGTAAGATCGTTTGTACCTTTATCTGTGACTGGAGGCCACTGTCTAACATCATCAACCCAACAAGTCATTCTGCCTGGCTGTAGCTGTCACATAGAGCTGTCATCGAGGGTGCGTTATCATCACAGTCTATGGTTATCACGGAGGTTTGTTTACATACCGGTAACAGCTCAATAATGGCGTCGCCACAAGATGGCAGCCTACACAGAACGCTCGTCGGATTCGTCTATAAAACCACCCAAAAATGAAATTGTCGTAAGACCTTCGTTCATCTTAGTAACACAAATGAAGATATTTGTGATGAAATCCGAGCGGTTTCTGAACCAGCCATAGACTGCAACTTTCAAGGCCCAGAAAGGTAGTAAAGACATCGTTAAAATAGCCCATGTGACTGCAGTGGTTTTAATTACGGAATTAACCCCTTACACCCTGAAGGCATTTTTAGAGTTGTTTTCTGAGTGACACACACAAAAGGAAAGACTCATAACTCCAAAACTATAGCAAGGAGAGGCCAAAGGTAGGTATCGTTTGAGAAAACACTTTAAAAAAAAAAAAATATAAATTACATTACATTTGGACATTCTCCTGCTGAGAAACTGCTGAGAAAAGACAAAACTATATATAATTTTTATTATTCATCTTGCATATTTTTCTTATTTGACATAGAATAACTCAGGAGGGAAATAAGGTAGGAGGACAATTCTTTTTTGGTGAAGTCCCTCTACATGTGAGCTGTATCTGGATAACATTTTGTGTTGATTGGATAAAGGAATCAAAAGTTACAGCATTTGGAAGCAAGATTTTAGTTCAGTTCTTGACGCCCCCTAATGGGCATTTTTGAAATTGTTCCTCCATGGAGAATATCTTGTCATAAACGCAATAGATTATGTTCATTTTGGGCATTTAATTGTATTTTTAATTGTAATAATATGCTATAAAAAATTATGTTACATTTTCAACGATCTGTGAATGTTTCATGAGCTGTATGGTGTTTTTGACACATTGCAGTACATAGTACAAAAAAAGTATTTATAGATTATGAAAAAAAGAAATTCTATTTATCAGCAAATAACTCAGCAATACTGAGGAGTTTTTCAAATTGGCTACATTCACTGACTCTAAGCTTTCAAATGACACCTATTTAGTGTTAATCAAGGCAATATTTAAAGTCCCTGTAAAGGCAATTTCAAAAAAAAATTCTAAACACATTATAAATGTTAGAAATGTAGTGCTAAAACATATTACAAAGACTGTGAACTGTGAAGTACTGATTTGTGGAGTTAGACCGTTAAACAGTTTTTCACCATTGCTATTTTCCGGATTTTCTGGGCGGGGCTAAAACAGGGCTCGATGACGCACTGGAGCCCCTGAGCTCCTGGACACGCCCCTACTTGATGACGCACTGTAGCCGCTGAGGCTGGCCGCTCCTAACATGGCTCCTAACAATAGAGCACATTCACATCAGTTTGCCGCTCAATCGCGAGTTACTGTCAGCACTATTATTAGTAACACAGCCTACAGATTGCTAGCTAGCTATGCCTTCGTCACGGAAATGCGTAGGCTACTAAGTTACCTGGATGCGATCACCGGATCACGTACAAACAGATCGGTGTCCTTATTTAAATTTCCGAAAAACGATTACATCAAGAAGAAGTGGATTAATTTTGTGAAGAGCCACCTTGATGGAGAGCTGAGGATCACCGCCAACACCCGCCTCTGTAAGTGATCATTTTACACGGGATAGTTTTATAAACTTTCGTCGGAGATAACTGTCTGGGATTCACTGATAATCCGCTGTTACGGGTCTATGGGGCCGAACCGACTCCCGCCTGGCCTTCATCCTCCCGTCGCGCCGACAACTGGTGCCATCATCGGCAGTGCGTGCCCACCGTGCGAGCATCCATTCCGGCTGTAGAGTTGAGTGTGGCGAGTTGACGGCAGCTTTCCCGCGAGTGGGCGTGGTTTCAGCGCAGCCAGTGGACACGCCTCCAGCGTTTGAGAGCAGAGATTACTGCTCATTTCTTCAAGATTTTGATAGCTTATTTTATGTACTTGCTGGCTTTTTTTATCATTCAAATTTGGCTGGGTGACTAATAACTAATTTTTCTGTGGTGTGGCAAACTCAAAACACATACTTAATTTTGACTTTACAGGGACTTTAAAAAAAAATATGATAATGAATATTTTCGCAGCTAGGTGGCGCCCGCGGGCGGTACACTCCGGTTTAGAGGGAATAGTCAGCTCTCGTTCAGAGTTGATCGAAGTGGTTAGATGCTTTAAAAAGCTGAGATTCTAAGCTTTAAGATGACAACAGAACCGGAAGACAATACAATGCTGAATAAAGTCGTAGTTTTTGTTATTTTATGTTACTTTGATGATGTCTTTATTTCCTTTCTGGACAAGGACAGTATACCGTACACACATTTACAATGGAGGGACAGAAAGCTCTCGGACTAAATCTAAAATATCTTAAACTGTGTTCTGAAGATGAACGGAGGTCTGACGGGCTTGGGACGACATGAGGGAGAGTCATTAATGACATCATTTTCAGTTTTGGGTGAACTAACCCTTTAATAGACAGAGAGCCGAATCACTGTAGTTTAGGAATAAGATCACGTGGGTGTTTGAATCGAGATAGCCATCTTTTAATAATTAATCATGCAAGCTCTAGTTCACACTCAATAAACGACATAAAAAAGTTATGTAGTTCTTGTATTATTTCAGAATGCAATATATAATCGCAAAAAACGTTTTTTTTTCTGTTTTTTTCTGATACCAAGCAGCCCTAATGAAAACATCCTTTTCTTTATTAATCATGTGCACTGATCAATCAATCACAGTCAGTGAGGGATCTTTGTGCTGTGATTTCTGAGTTACTGTCCGTTCTTATGTGAGATTCATGTAGACAACGTCTCGGCCTGTCATCTACACATGCAGCAGTGAGTTACTCAGCTGACTTTTACAACGGAAATTAACCAACACTGAACTTAAAGCTGCAGTCCGGCGTTTTTCCTCTTTGTCGCCATCTCTGTTCGAAATCTGCAATTGCAGTCATTCGCGGAATTATCAGCTTTACGTGAGTTGTACTTCGACACCCTCGACACAGCACAGCGCGGATGAACACAATGTTTGAGGAGAGTGTGAGGCTGTCAGTCGCCGCCGGTGTGGATACTGGCATTCAGAATCACAGATTATTCTTTTTGGAAGTATGACCAACGTAAGAATTTTCACCGGAAAATGTAATCTGAACTAGAAAGAAACATCCACTTTTGTCTGGTTCTGACATTGCAGTAAATCACGCTGATTAAATCAGTAACACTTTACAATAAGGTTCCATTAGTTAACATTAGTTAAAGGAGCTGTATGTAAGATTGTGGCCAAAACTGGTACTGCAATCACTTTCAAATTACTGTAGAGCGGTGCATCCCCTCCCCCTCCTCCCTGACTCGAGGTTGCCAGATCGGCTGCAGGATCCAGCAGGAACGTGACGAGCTGCAGCTGTGGTAACTAGAGCAGAGCTGGCAACCCGGATCCCGCAACACTACTGACTTTGTGATTGGTAGATAGGTGGAGGGAGGAGCATCAGACCAAAACACAACATGACAACATCAACATCAGTTGAGGGCTGCAACTTCACTTTTTAAATGACAATTTCCTGGCCGGACTACTGTTGTCAGTGATATAAGTATTTGAAATGAACATGAATTCTTAATGTCTAGTGACATATCAGGGCCATTTTATGATTAATTGAAATAAATTTCTTACATACAGCTCCTTTAATGCATTAGTTAACATGAACTAACCATGAACAACATCTCTGTTCAGCATTAGTTCATATTTGTTAACGTTAACTCACACATGTACTAATGCATCAATTCACATTAAAAGCACGGTTAGTTAACATTATGCATTAGTTAACATGAACTAACCATGAACAGTGCCTGTAAATAGCTTTACTGTTTTGTAAGGTTA